GTAAATATTCTTAAACGTGAAATATAACACGCGTGGGTACAAACGGAGCAGAGTATCATTTGTCGAAAAATAGCCGGAGATGAAAATATCCGACGAAAGCAGCCTCTGATAAAATGTCTCGATGCATCGCGTGCGTTTATCATTTTTTTTTTTTGCACATGTTCAGATTCTGAAAGTTTGCGTAACTAGCGCCTGAACGGCTTACGTTCCTAAATACAAAATTTCCCTCTTTGAGCGACGTATTGTCTGGTCGAAATGATTAACTCCCTTTTCATTATTGCCGCTTCGTCATATCTCAACGTAACCTCTTCCTCTTTTACGTTCTCGCATTCCTCGCACATTTTAAAGCGATTCCCGCCACGTCGTGCCTGTCTCCTTGTCGAGACGCGAGTTAATAATGCCTTAGTAATTAATAATTGCAGAATTAATACCGAGACGTGAGAATAAAGATAAATGGGACGGTTTTTTTTACAATTTCTTTCTTTGCTTTTCACTTCAGATAAATATGTTTTTTATATCACCTTTTTTATATTACGATCTACATTTTTTATTGTTTTCTTTACTCAGCGTATGAAAAATATGAGTTTCTTAATTGGACGTAGTTATGATATATAAAAGCAACTTAAAACTTTCAACTTTACAACTCTCTTTTTTCTAAAAAGATATATATATATATAAAATTCTATTGTATTACAACAAAAATGTTTGCGGAATTAGAGTTTAATAAAACATTTTTAAAAACATTTAACAATGTGAAACTATAAAGATTAATAATTGGTTTCGTGTTGTGAAACATTGTTTATTGCTCGATATTGCTATTTTGCTTTCTTTTGTAATTTCTTGCTTATGCATTGAGCAGATAAGAGAAATGCGGTTTTCAATTCTTTCAATAATGAACTCTATATCAAATGTCCATTTTTTTGAAAATTCGACATCTACTTCGAGATATTACTTCGAGATTTTACTAGTTACAAACGTAAAGTGGTGTACGTAGCATCGTAACTCCCCGGCAATTCATCGCGATTACAATCGACCGCTGATCGTTGCGCGCTTCGATTTGGAAGCCGCGACGAATTGACGACCTACCCTATTTTTGAATCAATTGATCGCTATGTGGGAACGTAGATTTCATGAAAAGCTATTCGCGGCGTAGGTCATTCGATGAAATCAAATGTCGAACTCACCAGATTCGTTTTATCTCGAGCATATTCGTGTGCGACTGTGCCGCATAGCGGGTGGGAGGTAGAACGTAAAAAACTGCAATCCGAGAAGATTGAATGATCGCACCGGAATAGATTAATTCCCCTCGGGGGTCGATTTTGCGGAACTGAGGCATTTTATTACGGCTCAGTCCTTGGCCCGAGAGAGATAATGAGTTGACCTAATAACCCGAAAAACCGCGAGCGGCATTATTTCTGTGCACGATGGGAGCTCTCTCTCTCTCTCTCTAATCCACCGTTTCCAATTTTAATTAATTTTTATCGCGCAACAATGTCAATCGAAAAAAAAGGGGGATTTGATTTACTACCGCTAACGTTATTCACGTACACGCCGATACATATCGATCCCCCATATAAATTTTGCGCTTGTGCGCTTCGCCGGACGACTACGTGTTGTTTTCGGATTTCAGCGGAGAGAAATGCGGCGCAATCGGCAAAAAGGGCCAGCGCTCTGTGGCGCCTGCGAAGTGCACTTGCGGCAAACCCTTTCGATCTCGTGTTGACGTTGCAGGGATAGAAAGTGCACGCCCGTGCGCGAGTGCAATTAACTACGGGAAATCGGCGGATGAGCGGGCGGGCGGGCGGGCGGGCGAGCGGCGTTGCGCGCGGCGTCGCGGCGCGGCGTAATTCGCAAGATATTTCGCACGGTTAGATGAAACTTGGTAGAGTTCGGCACGTGACATCTGCCGCACCGTAATCAACCAAGCCGAGTTAACTGGGTTTCTCGTTCTCTCGGCCGTGCACAAACCGGGCCACCGGCGGAGCTGCGCGGAGCTGCCATACCTCCTTGCAACGGCAAACCGCAGCGGCGCAGCCGACGTATATTGTCTCAATCTCCGGGGTTATCCGGGACACACCGTCTAAATTCATGCCCGATCGACCAATGGAAATGCCAACGTATACGTATACCTCTCTACGTATGGCGGAAGTTTGCACGATTGCCGCCGTGGAAGCTGACGCTACTTCTCAAGTTGTGCTCGGTAATTGAGATTTCGGTGAGGGACATTAGAAAGTTATAAACCAGCTGAAATCTCGCGTTGCTCGCTATAACATTGTTACTGGAATTAAATAAGCGAATTGATTCGTTCATTATGACATAAAAATGTAGCGAGAACGTGACATTTCATCGGCGATGAATCTTTTTCTTGATTTCAATTGGGAAGAATTTTCTTTTTATATCATGGTAGAGTGAAGGTAAAAACAGAGGATGAAGTGAAGACAGAGGGGAAATAAATTGAAAAAGGCGCGATATTCTAATGTAAAAGGAGTAAGAAATATGAAGTCGCGCCCAACTTTCTTCACACGTGCTATCAATTATGTACTTCGCTTTATCCTTTGAAGCCTATATCGTATCTCGTATAACTATCACGTGTCGTGAATAATATCTGCCTTTAAGCTTACTAATTACGGTACAGCGATACAACGCTCGCATAATGAAACATGGATTACAGAACGTGTAACGTTAATTACGCGATGCCAACAAGCACAGAAACGCAATACAATCTCGCGCTCTACACGTGTTGTGTATTTTACTCGAGATGATATATTTAAACATAAACAATATATAAATAAATAATACATTGCACATTCCCATCAGCTCGCAGACACGCATCGGAGAAACAATTTATCAGCGTTACAACGCTGCGGTTATCGAGAAGTTTATAGAAAATTTAATTATTGGAAATTTCGTCGTAAGAAATAAAAATTTTTCTGGTATTGAATTTTATTCGAGTAACGACTGACTTTTTCCGTTAACGTTAAAATAATTTATTTATACCGTGGTATGTTAAATATTTTAAATACAATGTAATAAAATTTTCGTATTCTTTAAAATAACGGAGATGCATAATACTTAAACATGTGATGTGTTCGTCAGCGATAGTAACAGAAAGGCAACAACAGCAAGAGCAACAAGTGCGCCAGTCGTAATTACCCTCCATTTCGCTTCACGAACTGTTACCTCGCAACAAATAGACATTTCATGGAAACATCCAAATAGATTGTCAAATTTATAATAACATCTGCTTCAAAAGACGCGCTGCACGAATTCTTTTTTAAATTGATTCATCGTCGTCACGAATAGTTAGGTATGTATATCGCATTGATTCGCGAAACTTTCTTGACTGTCATGAGCACATTAAAACGTCGTACAAAAATTATGTTTTATAAAATATAATTTGACAAGAAACATAATAGCTGTAAAGATTAAAAGTAATAGTGATAATGTACGACATGTGCAAGCAAAACAAGTATAGAAGTATGATGAACAGTCCAGTTTCTTTCTAATAATACTATAATTAATAGTTTCAATCAAGATTTAAAAAAAGAGAAAAAGAGTGAGATGGCGTAAGAAATTTAATTATTACAATGTATTTATACTCATAAACATATTTTTATTTCAATTACTGTAAAAATCGGTATATTTCGGTATATAGATAATTACTACCAAATTAAATCAACGAGGATATCGACGAAAGAGTGAGATTTAGCTGACTCGACGAGGGCAAAAACAGCGCAAGACAGGCGCAATACAGAAGCGGCGCGAAAGCGAAGGAGAGCGCGATAGGCAGAGAACGAAAGAAAAGATAGCCCTCAGCAACCCCACTGGTGGCAACCACCTCCCGGTGGTGGATGCACCTCTACGAGCAGTACGAGCAGTAGTAACAGCAGTACCACTAGCACCAGCAGCAGCAGCAGCAGCAGCAGCAGCAGCAGCAGCAGCAGCAGCGCAGCGGCGGCGGCCAACCTCCCCCGAAAGCGTAGAACGTGCGCATGCT